TGCCTCCCCTGAGTCGACGCCCGGCCCCTGGCGGCGCCAGCGCCGCTGGCGGGCCCGGCGCGCGGCAAGCGACGGGCGGCGGACGCGGCAGCAGCAGCGGCAGCAGAAGCAGAAGCAGCAGCAGCAGCAGCCGCCGCTCCGAGGACCTGCCGCCGACTACCCCGCCTCGGGAAGCGAGGCCCGCCGCGCGCCAGGGGCCCGAACCCTTAGACCCCGACGCGGGACAGCAGCTGTGTAGAAGCAAGATCAGCTGCGCCCAGTGGAGTCTCCCCGGGGGGACCACGATAAAGCGGCTCCAAGCCGCCGTGGGTGCGATGTTCACGGGCGCCCAGCACGCGTTCGCCAAGCAGCGCGGCAAGGGCGCGTTCGACCCGCGACGACGCGACCAGCAAACCTGCGCCAGCTTCCTGCGCTCCTTCCGCAACCACAACTGCGATTTGAGGGCCATGAGGTACGCGCTGAACCTCGGCGTCAAGTGGGTTCAGTTGCAGCGGCGATTCCCGAGCCGCAGAGACGGCGCGGGCAAGGGGCGCCGGGTGCCCCCCTGCAGCGAGGCCCGAGGAACAGCCGTCAGCCACAGCGCAGGCAGCGACAACGGGTCTTGTCGCCCTGCCCCCCCCCGACCGACCGACGGCGCGGCGTGGGGGCAGCCTGCGCCGACGAACGTGGAAGGCTCGCCCCCTGTCCGCCCTGTTTCGGGCGAGGCTAACTGCCGTGGCCCGGGCGGGGCAGCCGCGCGCGACTCAGGACAGCGTGCCGCCGATTCTTGGCTGCCCCCGCCCGCTCCCCCCCCGGCCTGCGACCCTCTGCGCCCCCCTCCCCGTGCCCTGGTTACCGGCAGGGCCCGTTGGCCATGAGGGGGCGGAGTGTCTGCCTCGCGCCTCCCTCTCGCAGGCGCACGGGGCGCCCTCCGCGTCCGACGTAGTGCCCGCGCGTCCGCGCGGACAACCCTGGCGGTCATCAGGGCTCACTGGCTGTGGCAGAGCCCGTCAGGTTTGGAGGAAGGGGGGCGGCAGCCTCATCTGGCTCCACACGAGGAACAGGGCCCGTTGTGCCCGTGGGAAGCGTAGTGACCGGCTCTCCCCTTCCCCTCCCAGGCGAGCGAGTCGCCCTTGTCATCCGACCTCCGCGTTCTGGCGTCCAAGGGTGCCCCCCTTGGTGGCCGGCTGTTCATGCAAGCGCCCGACGTCCAAGTCCTGACGTCCTTGCGGGCGACCCCGGTGGCCATCCGGCCCGGGGGGCAGGGTCCGTGGGGCCAGAGAGGGGCGGGCGCGCCGCGCCTCCGGTTCCGCCGGGAGGAACTGGGCCCGTTGGCCGGCAGGCAGGGCGCGGCTGGCCCCCCCCACCCCCCCGCAGGCGGTCGAGGCGCCCTTGGTATCCCAAATCCGTGCCCTGGCGCCCCCGCGGGCAACCCTGGTGGCAAGCAGACTTCTCAAGGAGAGGCGGTGCCCGCCTGGCCGGAGGGGGGCAGGTTCGGCCCGGGCCCGCCTGGCCTGGCCTCGCCTGGCCTCGCCTGGCCTGGCCTCGCCAAGGGACGCCTGGCCCGTTTGGCCTCGCCAAGGGACGCCCGCCAAGGGGCGCCGGAGGGGGTGCCCGCCTGGCCTCGCCAAGGGGCGCCGGGCCCGTTTGGCCAGAAACGGGCTGCGCCACGGCGTCAGGGTTGCCGCCTCTCCTGGTTTCTCCCTGCATCGTGGCGCGTGGAACGGGCCGGGCGCGGCCGGTGTCTGCCGCGGCGCAGGCTCGACAGCTGGCCCCGCCGCCCCCCCCCTGGCCGATCGCCGTGTTCTCCTTTCCGCGCTAATCGCGGTTAAACGCTCTTGGCGCGTCTCCCCCCCGCGCCCCCGGGCGCCCCCCCGTGCCGGGGTGGCCTTCCCGCGGCTGGGCTCCCGCTTCCCTCGCCAGTTCGGTGGCGCCATTCCCTGCCGGTCCTGGTCTCTCCTTTCCGCGCAAATCGCGGTTCGCTTCCCTTTCGGGTGAGGGGTACTGGCGCCTGTGGTTCATTCTAGGCACCTTCGTGGCTCCCCGGCGCCGCGGCCGCGACCTCGGCCGCTGTGCCGGCGTTCACCCCCGCGCCGTCCGTCCGCGTTTGTCGCCGCCCCTGGTGTGCCGACCGCGGATCGCGCTCTTGGCCGCGCTGCAGCTTGGCTGCTCCTCGCACTTGCGTATTCTGCTGCGGTTGGACCTCCTGGCCCCGGCCGCCCTGTTACTTCGCAGCTTGCCAACGCTTGCGTCCCCTCTGGGCACCCACGTCGGCATCCGAGAGTCGGTTCGCTGGCTGCGGCCACCCTGGTACCTTCGCAGTGGTCAGGGGGCTTGCGCCTTTGCATCTAATTCCACGTCTGCTGCTGCCCCCGGTCGACGGCCCCCCCCGTGTACCTGCAGCTTCCGACGCGTCGCGCCCCTGCACCCTCGGCGCTGCGTGAGGCTCCGTCCGCCGCTTTAGGTGTGGCTGCGCCCCGTCGCGTTGGGCTAATTCGTGGTTGCGCGCCCCGCTTCCACTGGGCTCGCCGCTGGCGCGCTCGCCTGCGGCCGCTGACCCACCGGCGCGCGCCGTGTCTCACGGCCTTGGCCGCTTCTGCACTGTTCACACCCTGGTCTTTGCCCGTGCCCCGCCAGGGCATGGCGTGGTTCATCTGGCTCTGGCCCTTTCGTGACGTCTATGACTCACGCGTCTTGACCAGTTCCCAATCCTGTGCGTTCACACTGGGCCCTGGTCCCCAGGCACCGGTCTGCTCGACCGTGTTTGGTCCCTCTGGCCTCTGCCCTGACTGTGCCATGGCATGGCGTGGTCTCCCTGGCACTGGCCCCTGCGTGGTGCTCGCGCCTTGATCAGCTCCGGCGCTTGTGCTTGCACTCCTCCGGACCCTGGTCCCTAGACTCCGGCGGCGTTTCGGCAGCCTTTGGCTTTTTCTCCGACGTTGGCGCTGTGGCTCGATCCCATCTTCAGTGGTGGAGGCGCCCGCCACTTGGCCGTGCACTCTGTCCGCTTCGTGGTTTAGTGTGTTCTGGCTGTCAGGTCCGCGCGTTCGAACCAGCTCTGGTTGTGCATGCGCTACCCTGGCCTGGTCAGCCGCTGGCCCCTGGGGCGCTGGTTCTCGCACGGGTGGTTCAGCCTTCTGGTCCAGCCTGGCAGTCCCCTGGCGGTTCTTTCATCGTGCCCCTGGCGCCCTCTGGCGACAAGGCCGACTTCCCGTGCCTTGTGATCTCGCTCCCATGGTACTCGCACGTTGCATCCCCCCAGCCGCCTCCGCAGCTGGCAGCTTCCACACCCCGGCGCAGCTCTGCCTCGGCGCAGCTCCCCACCGGCGGTCGGTTTGCTAGCCTGCTCGGCGCGCGCGCCGGCAATTAGGGCGCCCGCGGCCCGAGCGACTCTACCGAAGCTGCTGGCGCGCTCGCCGCAGCCGCGACAAAAGAAATCCCCACCAGCCCATTTAGAAACCCTGCCCATGAGAACTGACGGTAAACGCGACGAATAGATACATCTAGGGATACAAAAAGCAAGCAGGGTGAACCGAGAGATCTCTGGGAGCAAGGGGGTGGCCTTGGAAGGCCTCTTCGGGCCATCCCTGGGGGCCGCTTGGGGGCGATGGGAAGAGGAGGAGCAGGAGGAGGATGAGGACGAGGAGGAATAGGAGGACGAGGGCGCGGATGAGGACGAGGACGAGGACGAGGAGGACGAAGACAAGGATGAGGACGACGCGGACAAAGACTCATGGAACCATCTAGAGGTATTCTTGCGCTGCTGCTGCTGCTGCCTCTGCAGCTGGTGTTTTCTGGGAGCTTGGGGGGCCCTCATGGACCCCTCTTGGTAACCGTGGAAGGCTTCTTGGGATCATCTTGGAGGGCAGCGATTACAGGATGCGGGGGGCCCAATTCAGCTCCCCCCTCAGGAGCCCGCGAACCGCTTCTTGGGGCTCTCTTGGGGCGCTCTTGGGCGCTCTGGGAGCGGTCTTGGGGCCGTTTGGGGCATCTTGGGAGCCATCTTGACCCAGCTCGGGCTATCTGAGCCATCTTGGAGGTCATCTTGGGCTCGCTGAGGTCGCTCGGGGGCCTCTTGGGGCCGGCTTAGGGCTCTCTTGGGGCCCTCTTGGGGCCCAGGAGGGGCTGTCTCGGGGCTCTCTTGGGCCATACTCGGGGCTATCGATCAAAGGAGTGGGGGTCCCGATCTATGTCCCCCCCCCCTTCTGGGCCCCCGAAAACCGCCCCTTGGGGCGCTCTTGGAGACTTCTTGAGGCCTTCTTGAGAGGACCCAGGCCTTGTTTCTATAACACATCGCACGGATACTTCGTTGTTCTGCCCCTAGTCATGGCTTGGATCGGAAAATAATCACCTAATCGCCTGTACCTTTTTGGACCTTCTTCTCCTCCCCCTCCTCCTTCTCCTCCCCCTCCTCCTCATCCTCCTCCTCCTCCTCCTTCTCCGCCTTCTCCTCCTCCTCCTCCTCCTCCTCCTCTTCCCCCTCTCTCCTCGTGAGGTGGTGCGACAGGGAGGTGTTATGTATGAGGAATGGCAGAGGCGGACTCATCCTCCGATGTTGTCCTCGGAGGCCTCTGGGAGGCATCTTCGGGCCGCTTTGGGGCCGTTAGGGGCTTCTCGGGTGGGGAATGGAAACGGAACCGCTCCAACCTCAAAAAAACAAAGCATGGCATAAACATAATCATTCTGGGGTCCGTGCGGGTTTCTTGGATCCGCGCTCGGAGCGCGCTGGTGGTGTCGCCTCTGGCGCCGCCAGGGGGTTCCAGCGCCGATGCAAGAAATCTGTGCGGAGTTCAGGACATTTTTTTGGTTTTTGCTTTTGTTATTTTTGGTTGCTCGACAGACCAACTCTGCCCAGAAGGCTAGGGGCCCCTTCGGGCCTCTCCGAGGGACACTCGCGGGGAGGATGGGAGAGGCGATCCTCGATCCTCGAGGGCTGGTGGGATCGTCGACGATCCTCGATCCTCGATCCTCGAACGATCCTCTATCGATCTTCGACGACGGCGGCGTCCCCACCTGCCCAGGACTCCGAGCAGCTGGCGCCACACGCCCGGGCGGCCGCACCGCCAGGCGAGGCGTGCGGGGACGTGGTGGAGCACAGCCCGAAGCAGATGAGGAAGCCACCGCCCGCAGCGTCCTCCTCCTTCTCGTCCTCCTCCTCCCCCTCCTCCTCCTCCGTCTCTTCCTACTCCTTCCTCCTCTTCCCCCCCCCTCCCCCTCCTCCTCCTCCTCCCCCTCCTCCTCCTCCTTCCTCCTCCTCCTTCCTCCTCCTCTTTCTGCCGCTCTTGAGCGCCAGGAAGTTTGAGTTCAGTCGGGCCTGTCCCTCTGCAGGAGGCATATCCAAAAACAGTCAAACAATAGTCTGGGGGCTTTTGTTGTTGTTGTTGTTGTTGTTGTTGTTGTTGTTGTTGTTGTTGTTGTTGTTGTTGTTGTTGTTATTGTTCTTGTTCTTGTTCTTTCGTCCTCTCTATTTTTGACAAATTTGTCCTCTCTCTTTTGTCCGCTCCATTGTTGTTGTAGTAGTCGTACTTTTTGACTATTCTTTATTTCTCGTCCAGAATCCGCCTGAAGGGGGGGACCTGCCTGACCGAAAGTTCGAGGATCGAGGTTTCTGGGGCGTCCGTCCCATGGGACCTTTTCGGGCTCTGGGCGCCTCCGGATGCATCCAGGAGACTTCGGAGACCACCTCAGGGATCTCGGGAGACTTTCTGTCCAGGCCGCCCAACTGGGACCAGAGCAAGTTTGCTCGGGGGATCGTGCCGCATCGCCGACAGATCGGCGAATCGGCCCGATTTGGAGTCTGATTCTCTTCATGCTGATGTCGCCGATGCGTCGCCGATGTACCGGTGATGCGGTGCCGTCCTCCGACCGCGTTTGTTCGGACTCCAAGTGCCAAGATGCAAGTCCTGGGAGGTTGAATCAAGCATCGGCGCTGGTGCATCTTGTCGAAGACAGGCCAAATCCTGCAGAATCGTAGCTGAATCCTTTTTGTCCCGCTGAGTCCGGTGTCGTCCGGCCTGATCCTGGGCCCAGTCCAGGCCGGTCCAGTTGGACGACGCCTTGATCGGGACTCATCGCCCTTCATCGCTCTTACGGAGACCTCCCGGGAGTTGCTGCCCAAGATTTGGGCGGCCTCTGTTGCCCTCTCGCCGCTCCCGAGCGCCAGAGGCGACGAGATCTATACATATCCACTGCTCCTGGCCAGGCCCATCCTGGGCCCAGGAGCTGTGTATATGCCTCCCTGGCCAGGCCAGGAGGGCGTATACACCGCTCCTGTTCCCAGGATTGGCCTGGCCAGGAGCAGTGGATATGCATAGATCTCGTCGCCCTAAGAGGCATCCCAGCTCCCGGGCGCCGTGGGGCCGTGGAGCCACCCGCGGGCCTCTCGGAGCCCGTTCCTGTGCCGCCGGGCCGTGGCGGAGCGAGCCGCCGGGAAGACTTGGTGCCCAGGGTGGGGGGTCGTCGGCCTCCATCTCCTCCTCCTCCTCCTCCTCCTGCTGCTTCCCCTTTCTCCTCCTCCTCCTCCTCCTCCTCCCTCCTCCTCCTCCTCCTCCTCCTCCTCCTCCCTCCTCCTCCTCCTCCTCCTCCTCCTCCTCCTCCTCCTCCTCCTCCTCCTCCTCCTCCCTCCTGCTTCCCCTTCCTCCTCCTCCTCCTCCTCCTCCTCCTCTGCGGACTCCTCCTCCGCCGTTCTCGGTGTCGGGGTGGGGGGCCTGCGCCGGGCCCGCTGGACCAGGAGAGTTCGACCTGGTATGCCGGACTGCAGTGGAGGCCAGTCCACAAGAAATCGTCCCTAAGATTATGATGCTCCAACCTGCTCTAGCCCTGATCGCCAGCAAGAGTTTCGAGCAGCAGGAACGTGCCCCAATTCGAACGTTTTCACGTGTCGGGCCCTGGGAGGTGATTGCTCGTGCGACACAGTTTTTCGACACTTTTCTGGGTGCTCGGAGTTATGTCTGGGATGTGGTCCTTGAGTGCGATGGGAGCAACTTAACCCGACTGCTTGCTTGTTTTTCTGTGTGCTCGCCCTCACGTTTTGACGCTTACGCCGCCGTGACCCGTTTAGCGGCGTCGGATCTCGTGGGAGGACGGGTACACAGACTCCGCTCCCGCTGCCCTTCTCTTTCTGGCCCGTCGTCGTCGTGGTCGTCGTGGTCGTCGTCGTGGTCGTCGTCGTGGTCGTCGTGGTCGTCGTCGTCGTCGTCGTCGTCGTCGTCGTCATTGTCGCTCGTCGTCGTCGTCGTCGTCGTGGTCTTCTTCGTCTTCCTTTCCCTCTGTTCGTCCTGCGACCTCGTCGTCCTGCCCTGTTGTCTACTCCTGCTGCTGCTGCTGTTGTTTTCTCCGTGCACGCTGCTACAGGTGCTTGTGGTGGTAGTGGTGGTGGTGGTCGTCCTCCTCCTCCTCCTCCTCCTCCTCCTCCTCCTCCTCTCTCGCCAGTGCCTCCGGTATGGAGGTGGAACTGTTCACAGATATCCAATTTATTTGACAAAAGCAAGACGCAGGTTTTTCGACGTTTTCGGTCTCTAGAGGCCCTCGCTGGGCCCCAGGGCCTTTCCACGAACAATCCAGGATGAAAAGCTGGACCCCAGGAGTGGGTCGAGACGTCCAGGGATACATCAGGACGTCGGGTCTCCGGGAGGATAGCATGGGCCGGCCTCCTCCTCTGGCCTGCGAGCTAAGGGGCCCGTCGAACGGCCTGTATCCTCAGTCCCCCCAGCACCCTCGTCGACGTCCGCACCAGCCTTCTCCTCGCCAGTGCTCCCGTCACCCTCGTGCGCGTCCTCGCCCTCGTCTTCCCGTCCTTGTGAGGCTTGCAGCTGCGCACGGCCCCTCCAGGCAGCCCCAGCCCGCCGCAACGGCCCCCCCCGACCCGCCCGGCTGGTCTCAGAACACCCCGGGGCGCGGAACGCACCAGTCAGGGGCAACGATAGGGGGGGGGCATAGGCGTAGGGGGGATGCATCGACCTCCAATCGCCCATTGATCGCCGATGGGTGTCCGATGGCCCCAACCTCCCCAGGAACGTGCGGGTTCACTACGATGTATCGGCGATGTATCGCCGATTCCAGGTCGACGTTTCCCCCCCTAACCCTACCCCCCCCTACCGTTGCCCCTCAACCAGGGGCGCCCGCGGCGGCGGTGCCAGGGCGTTGAGACCACCCTGGGCCACTCGGGGGGCCCGTTGGGGCCGGCCGGGGCTACCCTGGGGGGGGGGGGGGCTGCCTGTGCGCAGCCCGAAGCCTTACCACTCGTTTCGCGTGCAAACCATCCAGCTGGACATCCACGACGGCGACGACGACGGCGGCTGCGGCGACGACGACTACGGCGACGAGCCTGCTCCTCCGTCCACCTGCGCCCCCCCCCTTCCCAGGACCATCCGCGAAGTCTGGCCGAGCGTGTTCCAGCAGGAGTTGGGGCCACTGCCTCAGCGCTGGATGACGCACTGCTGCGCGCAGTTCGAGGCCAGACTCCCCCCTCCCTCCTTCCTCCTTCATCCTCCCCTTCTTTCTTTTCTTTCCTGTGGCGCTTCTTCTTGTTTCATGCTCACGCTGCACTGCTAACTGCTGGGCCTTTCCCAGATGCCTCTGCGTTCTCGGTGCCGCGACGCCACGGACCGCACCCCGACGCGCACGTGGACGTCCGTCCTCCTCTTTCTCCTGCCCCCCGCGAGCAGCGTTCAGTCGGGCATGTGCCTCTACAGGGGGACATATCAAAAATAGCCAAACATAGCTCAGGAGGGAAAAAACACACAGACACAATGAATCGTCGATTCCCCAGAACGTACGCGAAAATATGGGAAGGGGGGGGGAGACAACAACCCAGAAAATATGGGAAAATATGGGGAATCTTTTTATTTGTGTGTATTTATTTGTGTGTCCCGGTTCCCCTTCAATAGCATGGGGCCGTTTCTTGTTTTATTTTTGTCAGTTTTGATTTTGGCGTGGAGGGGGTTCTGCTAACTTTTGAGGGATCCGCCCCTCCCCGCCTACACCTCCTCCCCCTCCAGCCCCCCCCTCCCGCTCCCCCTCCCTCCCTTCCAGCTCCTCCCGCTCCCGATACCGCTCTCCACTGCCCCCCTCTTCGCATCCCTCCTCCTCCTCCTCCTTCTCCTCCTCCTCCTCCTCCTCCTCCTCCTCCCCTTGCTTCTCCCTCCGCCCCTCCGCCGCTCCCCTTCCCTCCCATCCCCTCCTCCCTGGAAGTGACGTGACGTCGACCGCGATGAGTTTCGGATCCTCGCAGGGCGCAGATTCTACCGAAACGGCTTACCTCTGGCCGACATGGAGGTTGGGTCGAGGGAAGGGTGTCCCGCATATTTCGAACGCTGCGCTCGTTGTTTCTCATTTGGCTGCCCTTGACCGCGTTATTTCTTTGTCTGTGAGTATGCCGACGACGGATCACCCCGCACGCCATCAACAAGACCGACCACACGCGTCGTCGACTTCCCGCATGCACTGCAGTCTCTACCGATCCTGATGCGATTGCGGAGCATGATTCCTAGATCTAGCGCACGGACGTGAACATCATTGCAGCCCGCCTGACTGCTTCGTGGCCACTGCATGCGGGCCGCCAGCGGCCAGTGGTGTTTACCGCTGCAGCCTGCTTACGGGGCCCATGCTCCAGCAATGACGCTCCAACCTGTCAGCTGGAACAATCCGATTCGGTTGCTTTCGTTCACAGTCTTATATGTCTGTCTGCATCCATAGTTGATGGCTCGTTTCCACATGCTCCGTACATGCTTGCTGATTTCAGCCGCTGTACTTGCTCCGACCACGATGCTTGCGCTGTGGGTGTCCTCCTTATCCCCTGTCAGCACTGGGCTGGCACTTCCGGACGCTCGCCCTGGGGCGCCGCCCCCAACGCCGCCACGTCGCCGCCCCGCGCATTGGCTGGCCTTTTCAGGCTCCTCACCCAGCCGCCTCCCCTCGCCTCCTCGTCGCCGCCCCGTGGGCTGGCTGGCATTTGAGAAGTTCTCTCCCCGTCGCCGCCCGTCGTCGCCTCGTCGCTGCCCCGCGTGCGCTGGCCGACGTCCTCAGGTTTTTCGCCGTGTCGTCGCCCGTCGCCGCATCGTCGCCGCCCGTGCGCCGGCTGGCCTTTTCCCGGGTTTTTGCCCTGGGATCTGGTGTCGACCCGCTCCCGCCATCTCCTGCAGCTAAAAAAATAACGCGTTGCACGGCCTTGATCTACGACAAGGTTGTTCCCGATAGTCCCTTGCAGCATATGCGACGTGGGGCGCATGCCCGCGCCGCCGCGCGCGCGCGCGCCCGAATCCTTCAACTACCGTGTTGTTGCATATAATGGCCTTCTGCCCATCCTGCCACCGTGAGGCCTAAAAGAGGCATATGCTGGAAGTGTATGCTAGAAATCTACGTTCTCCTGCGGGCATTCGAAGACTGTTGGGAGGCCTCTGCTGAGGCGTCCTGGGCGTCCCTTCAGCCGTCTTCAGGTCATCTTGGGCGTCTTGGACCGATCGTTCGGCGATTCAAGGCCCTCTTGGACCGGGTCGGGGGCCTCTTGGGGCGCTCTTGGCCCGTCTTGGGGCCGTTTTGGACCCGACACGTCACGCGGGAAGATGCCGGGAGCCCCATGGGGGCACGCGACAAGCGCCGGGAGATTGGGCAATTTGGGGTCCGGGCCTCCGGAAGAGTCCGCATGATTGGGGGCTGAGGCTTAAGGGATTAGGCCTAGGCTGCCGGCGGCCTGCCGCAGCCAGCCTGACACTGTCGGCTTCGCTAATTAACTGATTTGGGCTGCGCGCCACTGGCGCGCTGGCAGAGGCAAGGCCACCAGCACGCCTACCTCTTTTCACCTTTTACCTGAGGGCACTCCAACTCGTGCCTCGGGGCACGGTGGCGGGTCAGCCCGTCCAAGACATAACTGAACACCCAGGGCTTTCCATCAAGCCTGCCAGCATTCTGCGCGCTCCCTTTCTGAAGTCACAAGGCAACCGTCGGTTTCTGGCCATTCATTACCAGCCTGGAACCTATCCCTATCCCCATGTCGGGCATCGCCTCGTCACGATGGCGATCTTGGGGATTCCCAGAGTTTCTGAGGGTGCATCCCTAAGATTGTCATCGCCTTATGGCGTGTCAATATCAGGGATAGGGGTAAGTTCGAGGCTGGTTACTTCAGGCCACTCGCGCGCGCATGTCGAAAACGTGCAACCGCCATCGCGCGCCCATCAACTCCGTCGAACATTACCATGCGGGCCACGAGCTCGCGTCTCCGCCGGCGCTCGTCGAGAGCCGTCCAGCACAGTTTGTTTTTTCATGGTTTTGGCACGGGGGTGTTCAACGCATGCGAGCTCCCAAGAGCTCGGGGGTGGACAGACCTCCTACCCTGACACGTCGATTAAGGAATTGGCCGTTCTCGGTTCGCGAGAGGTCGTCGCGGCCGTCATTTATGCGGGTCCAGGTCCGTCGGTTTCGGTCCCAGGCCGTTTTCACTAACGGGAGGTCTACTAAAAGGAGGTTTGTCCACCGCCGAAGAGCTGTCAATGAAAACATGTCAGGTGTTCGAGTTTTTGGGCGCGCCCTTTTCATCATGCTCGCCAGAACAATCATTATCATCATCGTCGCAGTCGTCGTTATCATTCTCATCATCATCATCACCATCACCATCACCATCCTAATCCTCATCCTTGCCACCATCATCCTCATCACTTCCATCACCATCACCACCACCATCGTCCCACCATCATCATCCTCATCATCATCATCAGCACCACCAGCACCATCTCCATCATAATCGCCAGCTTCGTTGCCACCGTCATTATTATCACCACCAGCTTCATCACCATAACCATCGTCGTCGTCGTCGACTTGGTATCGTCCCAATCTCCATTGTTTTCGCCATCGGTATCCACGTTATCGCTACTATCATCGCCATCCTCTTTGGCGTCTCGGTCGTCAACACTGTTTGACGAGCTGCAGCACGAATTTGGCCTTGCGGTTGAGTTCCGCGCGCCCGTGGTCTCGTTGAGATGATGGCCATATGAGTTTTGCCGACAAATTGCGGTTCGGATGGTGGGATGTTTGCACGAGCTCTGGAGTTGACGATGCGTAGACAGTCGAACCTGGGTAACATTTTGTGACACAGATATTGGAAGCGTTTCCATGGAAATGCTTTTCCCGATTTGCATGTGTACTTGATGGTTTTCTTACGAGCAAAGGCTCTGTGCTTTCTGTGCGGTGCAACCCGCGAAGTGCAATCTGGGCATTGCAGCTCATGCGGCGTTCTACACGGGATGCATTCGGTGGCGTGCAAGCCGGGTGGTGCAATCTGCAAGGCCGTTTTGTGGGGCTCGTCGCCCAGGCGGTGCTAGTCGCGTGTGCAGGAAGGCGTACCACCATTGGGCCAGCGGGAGGGGGGTGGTCACCACCTACCAAACCACCCCAACCCAGCCCGAAGGCCTCAATTTGCCCTCCATTTCCAGTGGGGGGGGGGGTCGGGGAACACTGAGAAAACACATATGGAACCCGTCCCCCCCCCACCCGAAATTCGGGTCTTCGGGTTGGGTTGGGGTGGTCTGATAGGTAGTCAGGTGGGGGGGTGGGACTCCCGAGGACTTCCACCGGAAGCCAAGCGGCCACTGGACATATGACAGCGCGCAGGGCGGGGCAGGCCGGTGCGGAGCCGTCGGGATCGGCAGGCACCCAGAGCTGTCCTGGGCCGTGTGACAATCAGGATGGGAAAAAACACAGACACAATTAATCGTCGATTCCTCAGAAAATGTAGGAAAATATGGGAAGTGGGGGGGACAAAAATCCAGAAAATATGGGAAAATATGGGGAATATGTTTATTTGTGTGCATTTATTTGTGTGCCCCAGGGCCCCTTCAGACAAACAGAGCCGACGGGGGAGGGGTGGAGCCACCGGAAGGCATGGGACACCTCATCTGCCCCTGCCGATCGTTCATCTGCTCTTCCTGGTTGGCAGAGTGCCCTCCCTGCCTGCTCGTTGGTCTGGTTCGCCCGGCTGTTTTGGAATTGCTTTTTTCCCAGGTGCCGATTTGCCTTGCCTGATCGTGTTCGCTTTCGTGCAGCAAGCGAAGGCGTGGGAGGCCGAGCGGCAACCAGCAAGCGCGGCAGGCAGGCACAAGGATGGCGAAGGCCACGTGCCGCTGCAGGAGGCCAGGTGGTGATGAGAGAGTTGGGGCGCGCAGGTCCAGTGGGGGGAAGCCACAGTCGAGCCGAGGAGGCGTACACGTGGGTCAAAGGCGCGTGCGTTGGCGGCGTGTCTCGTCCCCGTGCAGACATGGCGCGCGTCGTCGCCACAGCAGGCTGCGTCGGCCTCACGTTTCGGGGGTGCCCTCCCCAATCTGCGGAGCCGGGGCGCGCCAGATCCGCGGATCCCCTGCCCATGCTAGGTGTGCTCGAGTTCTGCTGACGTTGTCGGAAGCCCAGCGACGACCTGGCAGTGCGACACTCAGGTCCAGCGGTGGGTGGGGGGTGGGGGGAGAGGCCAGAGGCATCCAAACGGCGACGGCACAGTGCGACGCACAGGCTCAATTCCTCGGGGCGCGATCGGAGGCCTTCCGTGCAAACACTGAGTGGGGAACGTAGTATTGCGAAGGCCTCACGGCGGGTGCCACGACCACCACCACAACAACCACGGCAACGGCCAAAACCACGACCATGACCGCGACGACCACGGCGACGACCATTCAACAACTGAATGAACATCGCTGATGCTGCCCTCGTGGGGTTCTCTCGGGAGTGCTCCTGGAGCTCTCTTCGGCCTCTGGGGGGCCTCTTGGGGGCTTCTTGGGCGCCTCACGCTTCTTGGGCGCCCCTTGGGACCTCCTGGGGGCCTCTTGGAGCGGAAGGGATGCAAGAAACTGAAGGGGAAGCTTCTCTCAGGGAGGGGTGCTCCCCTCGGGAAGGGGGGGCGCAGAAGCCCTGGCCCCCCCCCTCCCCAGCGGGGGAGGGATCCAAGGAAGAGGCTTCTCTTCGACTCGGTCACGACGTTGCTCGAGTTTCTTCTGCCTGGAACGCTTGGTTCGGTAGCAAATCATGGGAGCCTTGTGTACCCTCGTAATTTTTTCTTTGGCGTCGATTTGCGTCGATTAGCGTCTGGGAGTCGATGCGATAGCGCCGATGCAGTGTTGGCTAGCGTGGATGCGCGCCGATTTAGCGTCGATTTAGCGTCGACTAGCGTCGATTCGCAAGAGCCGACAAGGTGGTACGGGAGGCTTCCATGTGTTGCCACCGAATCTTGGGAAGGATGGCCGACGGAATGGGGAAGAGTGGCGACGGCGACGACGACGACTCAAACGGAAAAGCCCCGCACACATGCCGACAGGGTCGGCGGGTACGGAATTCATGGGCTCTGGCATTTCTTTCCGTTTATTTTTCCTGGCACCTATTTTAAAACGACACAGAAAAGAAAGGACAGCTGTCGGGACAAGCCTGCCAGTTGGAGAGCGAGGAGCCGGATCATCCGCGACAGAATGAACGACCGGCACGAGGAGTGATGATTCCATTAGCTGGCGAATCGCGCACATATTCGGGTTCGGACGCGTGTCGCGCGCGTGCACGAAACTTGCATCTAGAATGGCTGATCGCGTCACGATCTGGCTGGCAGATTGCGTATTCGAAAAGCGCATGGTCTGACCAGAGTATGGTTTGCAGGGATCCGTCAGCCCTTGTGTGGTGTATGCCGAAGGCGACGCGCGACGCGATCCAGCAGCACCCGCTCGAGTTCTACCAGAGCCTCCTGCAGTGGGTCAAACAGCACGACAAGGAACTGCTCGAGCCAGTCGCTTAATCGCGGCATCGCACGGGCCGAGAGAGAGAGAGAGAGAGAGAGATAGAAAGAGAGAGAGAGAGGGATAGAGCGCGCGTGTATTGCTGTTGCAGCTGCGCCGCTGTGGGGGACAGGGGCGGGGCCTCCGTGGTCGTGTGGCGTTCGTGGTCGTGTGGAGATTGCGTGGCCGATGTAGTGGTGGCCGTGTTCGTCGGGCAGGAGTGGCTCCACCGCCAGAGTATGTCAATGTCCACCGCTGCGGAACCGTGCCCCAGGAATTCGCGGAATGGCAGATTTGGATATCCTGGGTCACCCTCCTCCTCTTCCTCCTCTTCCTCTGTTGAATTCCTAAGGGATAGGCAACAATGTCACCACGTTTCGTTACTGCTGCTGCCGTCATCGGCCTCGCCGCTGACGTTTCGACTCGAAGAGCTCGTGAGCATACGCGCGAACGACTTCCATATGCGAGCGGGCGGCAGCCCGCCAGTTGATGGTACGCGGAGTGGTCCGGTTCGCCGCGGTCTGCTCCCGCCTCCGCGCGCCTACGCGGGGGATTGCGAGCCGCGCCCCGTGGCGGGGGTGGCCAGGCCTGCGGGGAGCAAGCTCGGCACCACGGCGCGGATTGTGGCGGACCCGCTCAAGCCGGACCGCCTGGGCGGAGTCCGGCGACTACGGCAGCGTGGCGCGGCAGCCGCGTGTGCAGTTTCGGTTCTGGCGAGCTTGATAGCGGCTGTTCATACGAGCAGGACCACTGCAATTCCGAGAAGCTCCATTGCAAGAGCATCAAGACATACCCTTTGAGAAGGACATTCCTTTCTACGACGGTGATCCTGCGGTGTTCGAGGAGTATCAGGAGCGGGCCAAGGACGCGTTCTACGGTCGCAGTGGTGACGAGGAGCAGATTGCGACTCCCGTCAACCGGAGGAATGGCCTCTCGGGCACGGCGTACGATTCGGTGAGGTCGCTGAGGCACGAGGAGCTGCCGACCTACGCGACCAGAGGCAAGGGCGGCGGCACGGCGATAAAGAGGGCGCCCACCGAGGGCCTGGAGCTGCTGCTGAGGACGCTTGGCGAATCAGTCCTGCAGGAGAGGCCCGCACGGGCGGCGGAGCCGTTCGACGGGCGCCTTGTACGACAAGGGCGTATGGCGAGGCCTGGGGGGGAGCACGCAAGGAGTACATTATGCGTCGGACGAAGGTGTTCGACGACCTCAGGAAGGTATCCCAGGATACCAGCACCTCCGACGACCTGCAGGCCTACGTATCGCTGAAGTTCTCAGGGCTCGACAAGTCAGACCACGCCATCATCGTCAGAAGTGCAGGTGGTAAGTGCGACAAGGACGCTTTCGCGAAGGCACTGAGGATGCAGCACTGGGGGGTCCACGAGCGTGAGCGCAGCAACAAAAAGGACGGCATGCAGGAGACGCAATGCTCGGACCCGGGGCCGCAGCGGTTTCAGCATGGCCAGTATCTCTCCCGCTGAGCTTGGCAGGCCGAGCGCGACGACGACCGCGAGCGCTACGACGACGACGGCCATGCCCAGCGCGACCCCTCGCGCGATGGCCAGTCCCTGGAAGAGGAGATCTACCTCGGCGAGGAAGAAGCTGCTCTTGAGGAAATCGACGAGATGGATCTGGGGGCGGCGCAGAGCTTCGCGGTGATCTTTCAGAGCAAGCAGATGTTTATTGCCCGAGGCGGAGGGCGAGGTGGCAAGGGGGGGGAGGTCATGGACGCAGTCGCGGAGGAGGTCGCGGCGAAGGAAGTTCCAGCTCTCGGGGCCAGCCTCGGGCGGGCAGCGCCCTCGGGGACAGCGGAGAGCGACGGGCGCGCATCGGGAGGCTGAAGAAGACGACTCGGTGTGCATCCTGTGGGCAGATAGGGCGCTGGCGCGGTGGTCCAAGTTGCCCGAATTCATCGAGGTCGGCCGCGCCAGCGTCGGACCGACCCAAGAGCCGAGAGCAGCTACTTCAGCTTCAGCGACTTCAAGAGCGACTGCAGCAATGTCGGCGAGTCCAGGAGCAGGGTGGCGCCCCGACGGCCGAGGAGGACTCGCGCGAGGAGTGCCAGACCGAGGGGCACGTCTTCGTGGCGCACCCGGCGGACTTCGACCAGGACCTCAAGGGCCTCGACCTGGAGATCGCCCCCCTGGACAGCGAGATGATCATGGTGGGGGTGTCCAGGGGCTACGCGTCGCGCAGTTCGCGAGGTGGCCTCGCGGCGCGCGGCTGCGGCCGCTCTCTTATCAGGTCTGCGATGGCGAGCGACGCCGCCAGGTTCAGTGTGGACCAGTGCCGCTTGGCCTGGTTCTTGATCTACCTGGTGGCGCTCGGCGAGTGGCCCCCCCCCGCATCAGCCTGAGGACGGGGCGTTCCAGGTGCTGATGACGAATTGTTTTTCGACGGTGCCGAGGTCTACGGATCGAGTTCCCTGGGCCCGCCTGGCACGGCCGTGCTCGACGCGGCCTGCCAGATGACCGCGCGCGGCACCCCCCGGAGGATCAGGCGCGAGAAGGAGCGTCAGGCGAGGGGGCTCAGGGCGGTTCCAAGGTCCCACCATGCCAAGTTTCGAGGCGTCGGCGGGGGCGCATGCAGCGATGCGGCGTGCAGCAGGCCAGCGGGCGTCGCTGGCAACCCCTTCGAGATCGAGTCCGCCGAGCTCGATCAGGGCGCCCCCCGGCTGATCTCTAAGGGCGCGAAATCCGAGCTTGGTTGTGATCGACGTGGCGAACGCGGTCGCCGACGTCGCAGGGATCGGCGCCTACGACGCGCCCCTCTTCAAGACGCGTGGCGGCCGCCTGGGCGTCGGCCTACTGGACTTCTCGGGCGCGGGCGTCTTCGGCCCCGAGTTTCAGGCCGATCGCGTGGAGGGGTGGGCCAGTGGCGGCTTCGACGCGGCGAGGTTTCCAAAGGCGGAGGTGGTGATGCCGACGATCGAGGTGATGGGGGCGGAGACGGTCTCCGATTACCCGAACAAGATCGACTGGGATAGTTGTGAACCCATCAGGATGGCCGGCTCTAGACGCGCGAACAAGGTCAAGGCCGCGCGCGACGACCTGCGCACTATGGAGTCGAGGTCTCTCGACATCATGGCGGGCTTCGCTACCGGAAGGAGGCGACTGCCCAGAGTGGGGGCACTACTGGAGCAGCTCTTGTGCGGCCAGTTCGGCCTCGCGTTGCTTGCCTCCGCCGCCTTCGGCGGCGGCGCCGGGCGCGGGGGTGGGGGGTGAGCCGCGAGGAGGCAGTTGGTGGAGGGCTCCCTGCGCGACAATCATCGCGATGCCTGGCGGCCCGCGGGGCGAGCGGGTGCGCGCGACATCTCGAAGGGCGGGGCCGCCGCGGGTGCAGTGTGCGAGGCGAGGGGTGCGACGGGGCCCCGGCTCGCGCTGTCCGACCAGGTCGTCGCCGATTGGGTGATGCGCGGCAGGCGCGTCTTGCTGGGGCAGCCCCTCGGCTCCAGCGCCTGCTTCGAGCTCGAGATGAGCAGGGCCCGGGAGTTGGCGAGGAAGGGCCTGCTGCTGGAGCGCGCCCCCCACGGCTGCCAGCTCTGCCACGCGGGCGCAGAGACCGAGGGGCCGCGCTACAGGCCGACGAGGTCCCCGACGACCAGCGCGGCAGTCTACGAAGCGCTGCGGAGCGAGAAGTGCACCCGGGACTGCTGCCACCTGCCGCTGGGCAACCAGAAGAAGACGCGCGCGGCAGCGAAATGGCCCGAGGAGTTGGACGGGCTGGCCCTGCGCGCGACCGAGCAGCATATCGACATCGACATGGCAGCCACGTGTCCGAGGGACTTGGGGTTCTGGAGAGCTACCCTGCCAAGAACCAGCCTGGGAACAAGAGAAGAAGGTTGCGTGGCAAGCGGCCAGTGAAGCGTCCTCCGGCTGAGGGCGGGGGTCAGTGGCCACGTGGGCCCGAAGTCCCACCCAAGGACGGGCCCGCAGTGGCCCCCGGCGGAGTTCGAGCAGTGCAGTCCGCTGGGCTCGACCCCGCACTATCGCGACGAGGAGGGGGACGCAGGGGAAGGTGGCTCACCTGCGACCCTGCGGTCAGACGCGACATCAGGAACCTGCGCGCCACCTATGGAAGCCCGACCAATGTGGCCCTGGTAAGGTGCCTGAGGAGGTCTGGCGCCAAGAAGGAGTTTCTGGACTGCGCGTGGGACTTTAGATGCGACGCCTGCGGCGTCATGATCAGGGCGAAGCACTTTTCCCAGTGCGGATGCCGGGGCGCTATCAGTTCCTGTGCCGCGTGATGCTCGACGCGCTTTTCGCCGGCGATGCGGGGGGAGGGGCGCGTGCTTTCCTCAGTGCCGTCTGCGACGGCGTCAGGTTCCAGGTCGTCTTTGTGCCTGCGTCGTGGCGCGCGCCCGCCGTCCGCCAAGGTGGAAGGGCGCGTTCCCCGCGGCGTGGGCCAGCTGGGCAGGCTTGCTGCAGTCCATCTTCGTTGATCGCGGCAAGAGTTTTCCGAGGAGTTTCTGGCCCACATGTTCGAGAGCGGCGTGGAGATGGAGAACGCGACTCTGGGGGCGCACGAGCAGCTCGGAAGGGTCGAGAGGCTTGGTGCAAGATGCGCAGATCACGAAGGAGTAGGATCGCAGGGCCCTCTGCGGGGTCATTAACCAGGTGCGCAATGAGACAGTGATCTACGACGTCTACGCACCTGCCAACTCGGCGCTCGCGACTTGCGAGCGCCGGGGTCGATTCTTCAGGGCGGAGAAGCTGAGCAGCTACAGGCGCAGGAGGCAGCTCTCGACTTGGGCTCGGTTATGGCATCCAACCTACTTCGCCGCAAGTGCGCCAATGTCGCCTTCGTGAAGATGGAGGGCGACAGCCGTGCGAGGAGAGCGGGCTTCGGCCCCGCCGCTGGATGGGCGCAACGTGGTGCCCATCGGGCCCCGACAGGGAGAAGACTTCACTCCTGGAGCCCCTGAGCTCGAGTCTGTGGCTGCAGTTCAGGATCCAGTGTGGCGTTGCGAGCGGGGCCAAGCTCGGACCGAATCTGACCCTGTTCCTG